CTGGTATTTTGGAACATTTAATAAATGATAGTATGTTTTAGAACATTTAAAAGATGATGGTATTTTTGGAATTAAATTTCAAAATGTGTTATTCTAGGGAATTGCTCTTTTTTTTTTTTGCTCAAAATCAATTTAATATCCTCTAAAGTGATGCAACATTGTGAAGTCTAAATACATAATTCATAAATAAAATGATTAATTCTCCGAAACTTTTTTTTTTGTTAGAAGTTTATCTATGAAAATGTAGAATTTTCAATCTACAAATTTTCTTGCCGAATTTTATCCATAGATGCTACAAAAACACTATTGGCATTGTTCTAGGATCTCAGAACTGCTCATTTACCGCCTGACAAAAATAATACTAAATTGATAAGGTATATTACTCAAGCCATAATCCATTCTGATAGTCATCTTGATGTTTCTATGATTTCTTTCTTCGGAAAACATGATCCATATGTTCCTTTAGCCAAAATATCTTTCTACTATGTTCTAGAGAGATATTGTCTTTGTAACAGTTGTGAAATGGACACCAAATCATAATATGTTGTAATGCGGATTGATAGAAAAGTTTTGGCAAGGAAAGATGAGTGTTGATTCGAAGATTACAAGAGCTATGTATAACTATGCACGTCAAAACGTCACCGACAAAAACCAAAATAGTTCATGATTGTTACGGGTGATCTAGCTTAGGAGATGGTCCTTGATCTACAAATGAAGATCTTGAATGTGATGTTAGCGCAACCGAAATTAGCAGATGCACAAGTTCGAGTAAGGACCTCTACCGCATGGTATTGTCAGTTATGTTACTAGGATATAGACATATGCATCACATCTAGCAGTAAGAAATACATGATAAGATAAGATGTGTAGAATTTGCACGTTGAACTTAATGGTTAGCAAGATTGTGTTCCTGTCATAGAAAAACCTATTCTCATGGTTTTATCTCTACTCATGATAAGGTATGTCTATATTCTGACAAACAATGTGGCTTATAGGATTGCAAAAGAAGAGTAGGTGATAATCAATTGTTCTGCAAAATATCACATCAACTAGATGCATTTAGTGAAAGCGACTACCCTAATCCCCATTCAATTGGGGATTTGTACATCGTTGTTGAACTCGAGAGATTTCTACTCATCAAGCTGATAAGGGTGTTAAGCAAACAACACAATAATCCAAGCATTCCAGATATTTGCAAAAATCCTAATATTCTCACAACTTTGCCTAGGTTACTACTTAGTAGAACAATCTCAACTTTTTGT